CCCCCCCCCCCCCCCCCCCCCTGGACGGCGGTGAAACGTAACAGAAGGTGCTAGCGACGAGCGGGGGCACCGCAACTGCGAGCGCGTTGGTCCACAACACGGGTTGCGGGTGCAGCAAGTCGGCCTGCCTGAAGCGGTACTGCGAGTGTTTCAACGGCGGCATCGCGTGCTCGAACAAGTGTCGGTGCAAGGACTGCAAGAACACCGCCAAGGCGGTGGGCGCCCGCGCTCGGGCGAAGATGATGGCCGCCAAGTCTTCGTGCGGCGCAATGATCGCGGCGGACGGGCGAGGCGTAATCGCCGCCGGCGGGGGAGGAGGAGGAGGGACGGAGAGCCGGACGCGGGGCGGCATCCCCGGCCGCCATGGCGTGAAGGCCGGGGCTACCACCACAGTGGCGGCGGCGGCGGCGGCCGCGGCGTGGGAGGGGGGAGGTGCGAAGCACGACGGCAGGGGGGGTGTCGTCGATGTCGGGGGGGGCGGCGGGGCCTCGTGCCTTCGACAAGGAAGCGGCGAGAACGTCAGCGACTGCTCTGCTGCCTGTGCTCTTGATCCCCTCCAGGCGGCCAAGGTTTCCCGGTCCCCTCTGGGCGTGCTCGCCGGCGGGATCGCGGGCGGCGGCAGTGGCGGCGGTGAGAACTCGACGGACTCCAACCGCGGGGCCACGCGCACGTGAGGCAGATTGCCTTCCGCACGCACGCCTGGTTGTCTTGGGCGCCAATGATGGTGCACATAGTTGAGGTAAAAGTGGGGGGTGGGTGGGAAGTGCTGTTGTTGTTGATGCATTGGCCATGGCGCCGGGTAGGTAGGCACCGTTAGAACTGTCATCCCGCGCCGGAATGTACGCACACTTGGAACTGGCGCGCGCGGGGGGGGGGGCTTGACGCGTGTTGCAGCCACCGCCACTCCCCCTTGCGATTGTGCGCGATGCCCTCGCACTTGATAGCAGCATCGCCCTATAGCCCGAGGGGGGGGATAGAAGCCTGGCACGTCGTGTGTTCTCGATACTTTGATTGAGCAGGTATTTGGCAAGGGGTGAGTGGCACGAGTTTGACGGGATGCTGCTGCTCAACGACAAGATAAACACACCCACACAAAAAAAGTGTAGTCTTGGGGGTGATATATAGATAGTATTTGGCGCCGGCGCATTAGTGGGTGCCTGCTTTCTTGCAAGGCAAGGCTCTTGCAGTACAAGAAGCAGGGTCTCCGTACCCGCTGCTGCTCATTCGATAATCTACTTTTAGCCGAGGTGTTGTTGGGACCTTTCGCGCGCGCCTTTCCTCTCCGCCGCAAATCCCTCCTGTTGTTTTACACGCGCGCATATGCGTGCGGCCGCTGATTTTCGACCAGTTTTTGTCGGCACTGTGTTTTTGGTACGGGATCTGAAAGTGGGACAGGGTCGTAGAGGCTAAGATCGTATGTTCTGTAGCGTGGCGGTGGCTATTGGAGGGATATCGGGCTACGACGGCCCGACGATCGCAATGTCGGTGTAGTGCACCAGTGAGATTGATTCTCTATCCTACCGATTGCATAATGGTGCCTCTTCTCTTGGACGAAGTAGGCGCTCTGCCGCGTCGTGCGGTATGCGGGGCGAGACTTGGTTAATGGACATTTTTTGGACTGCTAGAGAAGAGCGAATTTTGTTGGTTGCTTCGGAGGTGTTCTAGACGGGGTGACACGCTCGGCACGACCACTCGGCTGCATCGCACTGCGGCTTCTCGTGTCGAGTAATCTAGTTCCGATCGGTCTACTCGTCGCGGCCACGTCCCTTCTGTCTTATAGGCGCTACGGTTGTATCTAACCCGTCAGGGGGATAGCCTAGGTATTGGTTCCATGGGGGAGGGGTAAACGCTTGATAACCGTCCGGCCAGAGAGAGTTACCAACAACAAGCGGTCATCCGTCCGTTGTTTTCGAGGGATGCCCTCCGATGGGGCTGCTGTGCCTCTTTTCTTCTCTCCGTGCCGTGCCCACCTTTTCCTTCTCGGCACTCGGGTTATGTATGGTAAAAGGTCTCCTCTGCCCTAACTAACAGGAGGAGTATCATACATGGGAATAATTTTGTTTGGTGTCCATTTTCCCTTGGGGAATTTTCGGAGGGTGTATGGCTACTGCTTGTTCCCTGTGTTGTACTATTTCGGGGAATGCACGCACTAGTCGAAAGGAGGCATTATTTCCCTCTTGTTGTGGTTGTTGACCATACTTGGGGGGTGGGGACGTCGCGTATTTGGCATAGGATAAGGGCCTTGCCCGGAGTGAGCTTTGCTTTGTACGCTAGTCTAGGCAGCGTGCGGTGGGCGGCGAGACGTCTTTCGCATGTGAGCAAGAGCAACAACCCCATGATGCGGGGGGGGCATACTGGGTGGTTGCTGTTAGCGTGGCTTCGATTTTGTTTGCTTCTGGGCCTGCCTGATTGTATCTTTTTTTTCGTGTTTCGAGCCATTTCATCAACATCGTAATCAAGTTACTAGTCGACAATCTTTGTTGCCGGTCTTTCTTGTTGCCTACACAGGACTCCCTGCTAAAGACGCACGCTGTTGTGGTTGTTCGCCTGAACCAGGTGGGGTTTTGGGCTGCTTTTTTTTGGGGGGGGGTGGGGGGGCCTTCTTTGAGAACCCTTGCATGCGGCGTGCAAGAGAGGATGTTTTCTTTTTGTAGCGCAGCCGAGTGTACCGAGTATTTTGCACATCAAGGTGGTAAAATTGTTTCATGTGCTGTGTGACGCCAGATCAATGTCTTTGGGGGAAGAAAGGCAATGCCGTAGGTATTCATGCGGGGGTGGGTAGGTTGGCGAGCGGCGGTCAGCGAGCTGGATGACAAGAAAGAGTGAGGGATGTCCGTGTTGCGGTCTACAATAATAATCTTCTTAAGCACACGGTACAGACGCTACAGCTATCACGATTTCCAGGCTCAAAAAGCCTGTGTGTAAAGGCAAAGCAGCAGCAACGCGATACTACTGTTGGAGCTGTCGCTGCCGAACGAGTGTAGTGCATTTGTTGTTCTTTCTTGTTGGTATCGGGGTGGGGGGATGCAGAGAGACAAAGAGGAGGCAGCTGTGGAAGCTGAATTCCTTCTGTTTGATCTTCGTTTGGTTCATGATGTGGTTCATTTTAAGGGGGGAGGACGGTAGGAAGGTAGCTGCCATTGCCTGCATGCAGACCTATTTTCCTGTCCACCGGTAAAGATTGTCCTTGATTTTTTCCTTCTTTTTTCATGGGAGCTTGCCATTGCTTTTGCTTTAACGTTTCTTTCGCGCCTACTACTGCACTTTTCTAGTACTATTTATCATTCATTCTGTTTTCTTACATTTGTTATGCCTTTCGTCTCACTTGCGTATGTCACGGCCGTACCATAGAGAACTAGCCAACAGAGTAGACTGAAGAGGTGCGATAATTGTACCACGTTAATTTATGCCACGAGCTGGGGTCAAGGGGTAGGTAGGGCTTATCTGCTGGATGCTGAATCTCGCGGTGTTTTTGCTTCATTTTCGAAAGCGCCACCATCAGGTTGGTACACGTAGCTGCGCTAACGCCCCGCCAACGGAAGGACGTTGATCGCAGCAAAGAAACGCTTTATATTATCAACTGATGGTGGATGATGTGTTGTCTATCGAACTCCCGCTCGGCTTGTCGCAGCTGATCGTGACCACGCTTGCTTCCCCATCGCATCGAAATTCCGATATCGCTCCCGCTACCATCGACGGTGTGGCATATGCAAAATACTCTGACAGGTAGGGGGGAGGGGGGGCACGCGAAGGATACCGGAAGAAAAGGGCTCATCCTCCGTGACCATGGTGCTTTCAATTGAACAAGACAACATAACACCACCACCAGAGGTTGTTGCGCACTCTACATCTACCGATTGCGCACAGAAGTTCGTTGACGGCGGCATGGAGCATTCGTCGCGTCAACAGTCCTTCCCTCTGATCCTGAACCACCGTTCGGCTTGCTTCAGCGAGGCGTGCGAGCTCCGAGGCGATTTTCGTTTTTTTTTTTTGGGGGGGGGCTCCGTCGAGGAACTAAACAAAGGTAATGGCCGTCAGGAGTGCACCAATCAATGTTTATTTTCCCTATTCGTACCACGCTCCAGGTGCTCCTAGTCATGAGCCAATAAAAACATGTCAAGTTTTTCTAAAATTACCATCCAACCACCGCAGACCACAATCATCCTCAAGTGAAACATAGACAGACTCCCCCCCTCGATCTCTGCCTCCTGTGGGGGTAGTGGAGGGCTCTCATGCCACAGCACCAGCCAGTGCAAGACAAGTATACTGACACCGCTGAGGGTACCCGGCGCTTCGGAACCCCCCTTGAAATAAAGAAGCGCAGTAGTACCAAAATACTATCATATCTAACCGAGCATAAGAGATGGACAAAGGTCCGACGACCAATCATCACACGTTCTCTCCAGGTCTTGCCCGTTCGCACGCACAAATCCCTCCTTGCTGTCTTTTTGCCCTCGCTGACTGTCGGCCTTTGCGACCAAAAACAAAAAGTAAGCGGGGTGGATGGTGATGATCGATCATCGTGATGGCCATGCGACAACGACGACAAACTCGTTGCGCGTGCCGCATCATCATCGCTGTAATACTTTGTCATGTCCTCCTAAAATACAAAAGCCCCACTTAATTTCCCTCTAAAACACGCGAGGTGGACTATAGCTTGTCTACCACGGTCGTCGCTCATATTGTGTGTCATACCCCCCTCCGCCCCATCCCAAACAAAAGCGCGACTATAGTCGGTAGATCAGGGTACAGGTGAGTGAGAAACTTAAATACTTGGTAAATTTCTGTTTGCCCCACCACCTCCCTATTCCTTTTCCCGCAAGCCACACCCACCCTCGTCGAGCGTGCGAGCCCGAGCGCAAGCACAGCAGAACGCACACGCGCTTCAGGAAGGGTATCTCCAGGTGAACGCCCGACGGTGCATGACGCACCTAACACACAAAATGTACATGTTTCCCTCCCGATCCCTAGCCCCCAGTCCACCCTCCCTCTCATCCAACAAACAACCCGTCCCTACAATAATGGGAGCGCTACTACAATAATAGGGTACACAGCTCACTAGGTTTCGTGACTTGGCCATAAGGCATGTTCGTTGAAGTCGGGGGGGGGGGGGGGGGGGGGGGGG